ACCCAGCTAATTTTTTTATTTTTAGTGGGGGGGGGGGTGGTCTCATTCTTGCTCAGGTTAGTCTCGAACTCCTGACCTCAAGTGATCCTCCCGCCTTGGCCTCTCAGAGTGCTAGGATTATAGGCATGAGCCTCCACACCTGGCCACAATTGGCTCTTGTGAACCTGTACAGACTGATTTTATTTCTCTAAGTTTACATGGTGCAGCTGGATTTTCTAAAAAGAAAATAAAGAACTATGTGTTCTCTTTGTTAACTGATGTTCGTATCTTGAAATTTGTCAACACAGGCCAAAACTCCCAAACAAACAAATATACAAAGCTCCAACAAGAAAAAAGATAGGAATACTTTAAGAATTTAATTAGTGCAATTTTGAATGGGTTTGGGGAGGTACAATAAGCACTTGAAGAAATCTGTAACTTTTTTCCTGCCAAGTCTCCTGAAGAGAATTTAATTTAAATAAATACCTAAATGTTTTTAAAGTTTCACAGTTCTATCATAACACAGTGGGAAAGAACCAATCATCATAGAAAAGTGGAAATGTTACCTCTTTAAACATATCTATTTCATTTGATTTATATAGAATTTTCTTTTTTGGAAATTTCATTAGAGCAATTACATGAAATGCTTTAACTGGATTCAATAATGGCGAGTAGAATCCCAAAAGACATGAAATAGTAGGTGGTCTTTCCTTCCTTCTTCCTTCCTTCTTTATTTCTCTTTCTCTCTTTTTCTTCAGTGAGCCATCTTTATGCCCTTGAAGTTTTGGACTTCTTCCAATTCTTGGTTAGGAAAACTGGCAGTATGGAAAGTAGTGATGACTATTAACTAGCCAGTCCCATTCTTCATTCGGCTTGCATAGAATCAGCATGCTAGTGTGATCCTATTTCTGGTGTGGTGCTTCATTTGAAGCATTAAAATAGAGGTGCCAAGTACATGGCCTTTGATATTCTTCCTAATGTAGGTTTAGTTTGATTGTTCTGGCCTAGCAAGTTAGATAATAATTTTTCTTCCTGGACACTGTAAAGTTTTAATTTTAAGACATAATATTAAGATTTTTAAATGACAAGAAAGGAATTGCTATCGTTTATGCTGGGGACTGTTTCCTTTTGGTGGTGAAAATTCTGTATGATTGGTAACCATTCATGGATGGAACACTGACACATACATGGTAAGGAAACTTCCCACACCCCAGATATTAAGTTGATCTAAAGTTTTATTTTTTCCTTGGAACAACTTTCCAAAAAGTGCTTAAGACATTACTCATTTTATATATGGAATAAACTTTTGCAATAATTTAATTTTTTTACAAAAATTTAATTATAAGACAAGGGATTGATTTATGGTTGGAAGCTGTTGTATCTGGACTAGTAAATTATTATACATCCCAGAATGCAGCAGTGAAAAACTGTGTTTCACATTCTGAATTAATAGAGGAATTCATGCAGGGAAAATTTGAAACTGGAAAGGGTATTTGCTAAATGTTTATAACTTAAATTATAAAATGGATTTGCATTTGAATTACTACATGATAATAGTAGTAATTCAATAATAATGCAAAAGAGAATATAACACTTTGGCCAGGCACAGTGGCTCACAAAGGATAAGGTAGTAGGATTGCTTGAGGCCAGGAGTTCAAGACCAGCCTGGGCAACATAGGGAGCCCTCATCTTTACAAAAAATTAAAAAATTAGCCAGGTGTGGTGGAGTGCCCCTTTAGTCCCAGCTAGTCGGAAGGCTGAGGCGGGAGGATCTCTTGAGCCCACGAGTTCAAGACTACAGTGAGCTATGATGGCACCATTGCACCCCAGCCTGGGTGACAAAGTGAGACCTTGTCTCAAACAAACAAACAAACAAAAATGTAACACTTCAATGGTTTATCATAGACTAGAGTTTAACCATATGCCCGAAGAGAAAATGTATTCAAAAAGAGTTATTTTCCATAATTAATAAAAAGATACAGTATAATAATTGTTTAAATTGCTAAAGAGCCTATGTGTAATTTAAGCCCTTTCAAGTTTACTCATTAAGGAGGTGCCATTGTATGTGGAGAAAGTAAAATAATATTATTCCTTTGATTCTTTCTTATTGTTGATTACTTTGTAAAATATGTAATATGAAATAGAAACTACACAGTAATTGATTGCCAAAATAGTCGAAGTACCAAAAAAGCATAACATAATTGGTTTGACAGATTTATTATTGAATCATTATTTAATGATTCGAATTATGATATGGGGGTAGTGTTTGGAATAAATTAATAATAGATACCTGTTAAAATAAATAAATATTTCATTCAAGATTCTGAAAGTTGGCTGGGCACGGCGGCTCACGCCTGTAATCCTGGCACTCTAGGAGGCCGAGGCGGGTGGATTGTTAGAGCTCAGGAGTTCGAGACCAGCCTGAGCAAGAGTGAGACCCTGTCTCTACTAAAAAAAAATAGAAAGAAATTATCTGGACAACTAAAAACATATAGAAAAAATTAGCCGGGCATGGTGGCGCGTGCCTGTAGTCCCAGCTACTTGGGAGGCTGAGGCAGGAGGCTGAGGCTGAGCCCAGGAGTTTGAGGTTGCTGTGAGCTAGGCTAACATCACGGCACTCACTCTAGCCAGGGCAACACAGTGAGACTCTGTCTCAAAAAAAAAAAAAAAAAAAAGATTCTGAAAGTTATCTTTTTTAGAGATAAAAATGGTGTGTTTGAATTGCTTAAAAAATGCCTTGTCATGGGTCCATAGAGAATAAATGATATACAAAAATAATTTAATACCAAAATGATTCTGATTATGGGAAAAATCATAAACAGCCTTATAAATTGCCATGATGATAATGGTCATATGTGTATATGACTATATATGTGCGTGTAAAACATCTCTGGATGTTTGTTGGCTAAAATGCCTATATGCTATTTTAGAGAAGATTTGTTATAAAAAGGGATACTTTGAAATCTGATTTATTTTTATCATAGTTTTCACTTTTGAATCACTTTTGCTTAAAGACTTTTAAGTACATAGTGGATTTTAATATCATGAAAGAATTTTATAAATTATAAATAATTCTTTAAAAGACATTATCAATTTAAGTTGGTCATATGAATTATATTTAAAATTTTACAGTAATGGAGGATAATTTATCTAAATTTGAATATTAAACTTGATGCCCCCAAATCTAGCTTTTTGAAGAGACATGAATTGTTTTAAGTGTGTAGTTCTGTTCAGAAACTTCGGAAGAAGAAAAATGCTCATCTAGGAGATAAGAGTTCATGTTCTACTGGGGAATTATGTAAACAGTATAGTTGGGGATAATCTTTAATGTGAACAGTAGATTATTTTACTTTCAAAAGAGAAAGTATGTAGTTTAGTTTTAAATTATGCTCGACAGGTCTTAATTTGTATGACAATACATAGATACAATAAATCTTAGTATTGGAATCGTTCTAAATAATGGGACATTTATTTAATAAATATATTTTCTATTACTATTACTAATTAATGCTACTTGTAATTGCTAAATTCCTCACATTCAGGGAGTAAGAGGAAGGGAGAGGAGAGGTGGTAATGTTAGGTGACAGAAATAACCTTGAAGGAATTCAATTTCAAATAGAGGCAGTATTGAAAAATACTAGAAAGTGTTGTTCAGCCAATGCTTCACAGCCTTTTCACTGCATGGTACACCTAAGCATTTAAATTGGCTATACCCCACTTGGGAGAGGGTATTTATGTGTCGAACTGGCTTCAGAGAAGGGCAGCAGAGACTTTAGCAAGAGTGGTGGCTGGACTGTCAGGAAAGCCCATGCTATTTGCCTCAACCCCAAAAGAGAGCGCAGCTGGGCAAGGACAAGGATCGAAGCGGAAGAAGTTGGGGCACCTTTGCAGGCCGTGTGGGGGAGGAGTTTCAAACGCTGACACAGCACTTGTTGGAAGAACTTGAGACATCCATGACATACTGAGGAGCACTCTACTAGTTGACTGGCTTGAACTGCGCGTGTGTTTTTGGAGACAAGCAATTAATACTAAAGCATGTGTTAGGGAGTTGCTAAGCATGCTTGATACCTAGGAGCATTAGCCAAAATTGCCGACAGCCTAACTGTGGAGATAGGCCGGGAAGTAACTCCACAGAGGAAAAAGGAAGTGATGAACCTGCCTCCAGGGTACTCTGACGTGAAAGATATCTGACGTTCCGAATAGGCTGTTTGCACTACCAGGGAGGCATCTGGCTCCCATCCAACCCCTACCCACGAGGTGCCCATTCCAGAAATGGGGCAAGCTTCGTTCTTGTCACCTGCCGGTGACAGCTCAGCTCACATTTGTCCACGTCTTCTATCACGTGCCATGGCAACATCCCCAAATGATTATTGGAAGATCTACTTTTTTTTTTTTTTATGATTCCCTGACAGAATTTATAGAATCGGGGGCACGTTGCATTCACATTTGATGTCCAACCTGTACACATTTTAGTGATTCCCAGGAATTGTAATGTGGAAGTGTCAGGCTCGAAATGGGAGCTCACCTTAAGCAACCAGACTTTTAAAAATAAATAAAACACAGCTCTCCTCAATTTAAACCCAAGGATTTGGATGAGGTTCCCTTGTCAGAGTTTCTCCCGAGTGGAGGAGGAAGGAGGAAGGAAAGGCGGGTAACTGGAGTTGCCTCATGTAAGAGGGCTCCGGACAGAGAAAGGGTGAGATATATTAATAGGGGCAGTGGGCGTCTTCTCTCTCTTTCCATCTTGGAGATAGGGATCCGAGTGGCGGCGGCAGTGGGGCCGTCAAAGCCCAGAGGGATAGGCGAGAGGAAACCCGGCCCGTGAGAGGGGGCCAGTGGGTGTGGGATACCCACTCGCTAGGGCACCCTGCCGGCCGCGGCCAGGAGAGTTCGGGTCCGCCCCGATCCCAGGGTGCACCGCGCCCCGCCCCCTCCCCTCTCCCCGTACCGCCTCCCCTCGGCCCCGGCCCCCTCCCTCCCGGCTCCGGGAGGCGGGGACGCGGCGGCAGCGGCGCCTTCTCCAGTCGAGTCTTTTTCAGTCACTGGGGAGCCTGGCAGTGGCGGCACCTTTCGAGGCAGAGTCGCTGAGCCGCGAGCCCGCCGGCCAGCCAGTGCGAGGTCGGACAGACTGACGGCGGTGCCGACAGACGGACGGACAGCAGGGCAGGCAGACGGCCCGAGTTCGCCTCAAGTTCCGCCATGAGCTGGGGCACGGAGCTGTGGGTGAGTGGGGCGCCCCGCGCGAACCCCGGCCCCTGAGAGGCGCGGGCTGGGCGGGCGCAGCTGACTATCGGTGGCTAGAGCGCGTTGGGCCGTTCTCGCCCCAGCGCTGGCGGAGGGTGGCTGTCCCCTCCTCTTTGTGTGGAGACCCTCTTCCCTCCTCGGCGAGGGGGCCGCTTGTCCGCGCTCCCGCCTCGGTCGCCGCGGCGGGGCTCTGGTAGCGTCTTGGACAGCCGGGGGAGCGACCTGCAGGCGCCCGCGTCCGTCACAATCCTTTCACGTTCCTTCTCTCTCCTCCGCCTTCACTTTCCGGACGCCTGGCTTCACGCCGGGCCGCGCTTCTCTCCCTTTGTATCTCCCCGCCCCGAGGCGGGGGAGGGGGCCCATTGTCCCGAAGGGGCGCTGTTTGCGGGCGAGGAGGGGCCGGCTGTGACCCCCTGCGTCCCGGCGCCGGTCGGCTAGGCTAGGGCGTCGCCGGGCCGAGGCGGCGCTGGGAGCCGGGCGGCGCCACCCGCCCCCTTCGCCCCAGGTAGGGGGAGCCGGGCGGCTTTGTTCGAGGCCGGCCTCGGGCCAGCCAGGCCCAGCCCACACGCCCATTTCCCTCTCCCTGCCTGTGCTCGGGACGGGCAGAGCTTCGGGGGACTCCGGCTTGGCCACCCCCAGCTGCAGCCTTTGGGCTGGTGGGTTGGCTTTTGGGACCTGAATGAAATTGATCGATGGGAAAGCTATAATAATTTTGCCAAAGGAGCGTACGATTTTCCGATTGCTTTACTGCCCCTTCCGTTCTTTATTCTCACTCGCTCTCTTTCCTTTTCTTGCCTCCTTGCCTTTCTTTGGCGCCGGAGGCTCTAGACAATGCCCAGAGTCTGGCCAAGGTGCAGGTGGAGTGTAATAGGTCGGAGAATTAGCTCCTGGTGCAGATACGGAAGGGTGGAGGTGTGGAGGGCAGTGATTTCTCAGGTGCGGCGGTGGTAACAGGGGGCGTGGGGGCGCTGTCCCGAGAGCAGCCGGGCCTGAGCCACTCCCCTTTTTATTCCACCTGTGCATATTTTCCGTGCCTTTTGTTTGTGAGAATCTCGTGAAATCACTGCAGAGAAAAGGGAGAAATAACTTTTGAGGATGTATGTGAATGATTCGAGTGGGAGTGAAAGCAGATTGGTTAATTGAAGGGCAAAATGTTCTTATTTTTTATACCTTATTCACAGATTGGGAATCTTAGAACTGAAAGACTTTAGAGTTCATCTAGAGGTACACCTCCTTAGCCAGCCCGGGAATCTCTCTTGCGACGTTCTGGACAAGTGCTTATCCGTCTGTAAACACACCACCCAAGAGAGAATACCTTAGAAGCCTTTCCATTCCGTTTCTTAGATAGCATTAATTTTTTTTATATTGAGGGGGATTATATAGCAAATGAATTACGTAAAATTTAACCCTTTTACATTGATTAGGTTCTCAGGCATTATTGGCTTTGTACGCTCTATAATTGATTGTAGTGTGTTATCACTGAAAGGAAATTGGTATAGTTTTATTTTCCATTTTTATAATTACAGAATATTTAATTTTACCTACTTAAATGACCCATGTTTCTGACGTAGCTAAAATGTAAGCAGAATACTTTTAAAAAGTATACATAGGAAAACAGTGGAGGAATATTGTTTAGATTTAACTCTTAATTTAGATTTAAAAAAAATCACTTTGTGTCACACTATAGAAAATATTTTAAAAATGAAATATTTTAGTGACGATTAAAATGTGATTTTTAAAGTTTTTTTTTTAAAAATTTAAGAATATAGTACAACATTCAGAAACTATTCCAGTCTTCCTCTGTCTCTTGTAATTTGGTTATTTATTTTCAGCGTTTAAATAGTTTCTCAGCAATTTAAAAAGGTAAACTGTAGAAGAGATGGGAATTTCTATTCTAATTAAAAATTGTTTTATATCCTTTGGAAATTCTGAAAAAAGATTTTTAACTTTTCTTTTAACATTTAATGTATCTCGATATTTTAAGATTTGTAATGGTTTGAGGGTTTGAGGGAACCATTTGTTAGAAACTAATGTAGAATCAACTAATATCAGCTTGATGTCTAAACCTTATATAAGTAGAATTTGGTGTAGAGGACTATTGTTGGGACTGGAAGAAACCTTGGAAAAATTTGATTAGACTGCCTGTTTTTACTGTTTTCAGTTTTGAATAAGGATATTGTACTTCCAGTGGATTGTAATATAATACAAACACCTATACTGTGCTCTTGCCATTGAGGTATTTGAGATTGGGAAAATTCTGTTGAAATTTTTATTTTAGAAATCAGTTCTCATATTTCATGTTTAGGATCACATTACTGTCCCAAAGGTGTAATTACTGAGAATATGTTATTACAAAAAAAATGATGATATGTAGTTAAGCACTCAGACTTATATCTGTTTCTTATAACAATTGTTGGAATTTTTATTGCTATTTTAATGCTTTTTAAGTCTTATGTTAAATTTGAGAATAAAAGAATTCAGTAGAACTACTCTAATATGACATTGGGGGGCAGAACTGATAGTGATAGGCTAAGTGGGTTGTGTCAGACTTTTGTTGTGCAGTTGTGAGGGGATGTGAATTGATAATGAATTTGAGCTGTGCTTAAAGGGATTTCCAGTGTTCCCAATATTTAAGTCAGGTGAATATATTCTAGAGTCACAGTTCTGCATTCTGTGTTTTGGGTAGTACCAAAGAGAGATGACATTGTCTTCATTTCTTCAGGATGCAAGGTAATTATATGGTAGGATCTTAGACATTACTTATTGTATTGATTTCTCTTTTTTTGTTTTTTTTGAGACAGGGTTTCGCTCTGTTGTTGGGGCTAGAGTGCACTGGCATCCTAGCTCACTGCAACCTTAAACTCATGACCTCAAGCTATCCTCCTGCCTCAGCCTCCCAAGTAGCTGGGACTATAGGCGCATGCCACCATGCCCTAACAATTTTTCTATTTTTTTTTTGAGATGGAGTCTCCCTAGTGCTCAGGCTGGATTTCTTTATTACATAGTAAGACAGTTGGATCAGAAAGAGAGCCAAATATGAATTAATGATTTCTCAAAGGACAGATTTTATAATTATTAGCTCTTTTTACAAATAAGAAAATTAGAGATTGAAGAAATCCTGTGATTAGTCAGTAAGTTTTGCTTATTAAGAGATAGCTTTTTAGCTTTTTGAGGACCCAGTTCAGAAAAAAAAAACCTTTGTATGGGTTGTATGTGTATAGATATAAAAAAAAAAATATGGCTGAGCACATCACATGTGATTTACTGAAAAATTTGCTACCAAGGGAAATGTGACACTATTCTGGGAGTTAGAAGACAGATTCAAATATCTGACTTAATTTATAGGGATATACAAACCTTTTTTTATGCCTTAGTTTCCTGATCTGTGTAATCTTTGGCTCTTAGTTTTTAGAGTGGATAATTTAAAAGCCGTTCGTTATTTTCATCATATTATTAGGCAAAGGCATTTGACAAAGCTTACGATGTCTTTTTGGAAGAAATTGAAAAATGTGGGTTGAGTGGTAGATTAGGTGGATTCTTTATGCAACACCTTCAGTGTTAACCCTTTAATACTTTGTTATCTTTGTCCTTTTAACACTTTATATAGCCCTTAAACTTAACATTGTACGTATACTGGACTGTCCTTGAGTGTAGGGGCTAGATTAATCTTGGTTTTGTTTTCACTAACCAAAACAATGCCTGTAGGTGATCATGCATCTTTTGCCCAATTGAATTAATAGCATTACCCAGAGTATTGATTACTGATTTAGTATGTGTATCCTGGAGGAAGTCTTCAGGTTTCTGGAGGCCTTTGTAGGTGATTACAGATTAGGTGATCTAGATAACAGTTCAAGAAAGTCTAAACAAGCTGAAACAAAAATGATAAAGTTAAAAATTTTAGTACTTGGGTTTTAAACATTTTTATAGGTTGAGGAGAAATGACCTTAAAGGTAGTTCTTGTTAATTTACTTGCTTGATAGCCTGAATATGACTGCCAAAATAATTGGTGAAATCTTAGGCCACGTTGATAGACTTATCTGGAGCAAAGGCATTGGGTCCCATTGTAGTCTACTGGTTAGATCATATCTGTGATAGTGACTTTGGTTTTACTTCAGATTTTTTTAGAGGGTACTTGTTTAGAGGAGGTTGACAAAACTTTAATGTGAACTGTGTTACTTTTCCAAAGGCCACAGAACTGCTGTAGGAATTCAGTTTTGTTTAAAAAAATACAGTAATTATTGCATGTTTATTATACAGGAAGCACTGTGTTATATTTGGTGAGATTTATGAAGGTTTATAATATTGGCCCTATGCTGACAAAATGCAGAATCACTTTGAGGTTATAATAACTTTTCGAACTCCAAAATACTTGCCTACATTGATACCAGTGTCCAGAATGCCCTCTGTTGACCAATTCCTGTCAACCTCCTCCCTCCAGACTACACATTGTGTATATTATCTTTCTATGGGACTACCACTTTATAGTTATTTCTTGTACATTCAAATCTTAGGAAAATTGTCATGGTATGAATATTATATCTTACATTCCCTTTTGTTGGGAGAAACTGTCATGTTCAACATTGTATTACAGATGTTATTGCTAATTGCTAAGGTGGGTGAGAGTTATCAAGACGCCTCTTTATGTCACCATTCCATACTGACTTGATGAGATGGAGGCTGGAGAGCTGCCTCTAGTCAAGATCTTTGCATTGCTACTCCTACTCCATTCATTTCCACTCCCCTTCTCTGCCTTTTTCTTAAAATACTCTCTCTCCTTTTCCCAATCTATAAAATATGAGTTTGGCTGGAAACTTAAAAAAAAAAAAAAAACCCTACTCTATTTTTCCTATTTATCAGCCTGTTTGTAGACAGAAAATACAGTAAGAGAAGAGTAATGGTTTATAATTACTGAGTACCTCTGTGTACACCAGCAAGTATTATTTAATAATCTTCAATTACAATTTTCAGCTCAGTAGCTA